TTTTGGGTGGGTAAACTTTGGGCATTTGTTAATTCAATGAGAAAATTTTAATTATGATTTAAAACTGAGGAAAATAGGGTTTGTGATGGGAAAAAAAATTTTCAAACCAGGGGGGGAAAAGTAAATGTATAAAAGGCATTCAACATGGTTTAAAAGAAAATTTTTTTTTCACAAAAAGGGGCACAACAGCGATTTTTTTTAATTTATTTACTTATGCAGGCATGTAGTGAAATAAATATACTTTAAATTAAATTCAATGCAGGAACCAATATTATTGCTTAAAAAAGTTGCTCAATTGAAATAGAAATGCTCTGAGGAAAATACAATCTTTTTATTTCCCCATGTCAAAGGGAAAATGGGGAGTAAGTGGTAATTTTTTCCGACAATTTAAATGTTTGGAACAAGAATTTAAAAAAGAAGCGTCAGCCACTGATCGTTTGGTAGGTTCCGAGGGCAGAAAAATAATTGGGGGATTTTAAAAGGGAAACAAGGGAATAAAACTTCTATGGGGCGTTTTTATTTATTTGTTGAAGGGATTGAAAAGAAAAAGGGGGAAGGGAGATTAATATAGACAATGATGGGGAAACAAGGAAATTTAATAGTTCGGTACTTCCTGTCCCTCCATTTTTAAAACAGTTGGACGACCCTTTTATAAATTCCCAAAGCCGAGAAAACTAAAATAATTTTAGGGTTTAAAATTACTTAATGTTTAATTTTTTATGGAATTCCCAAATGGCCCAAACTCCTCATCTTGCTTCTATTCAAACTAAAATTCTAAATTCTGAAATGATTTTATAATTTTTAAATTTTGAAATTAGATTTTGGGTTTTCAAAAATTTTTTGAGTATCATTTTTTTTAAAAAAGGTTGTTTTAAAAATCTTTATTTTTTAAAATTGTTAAAATCTGTTTTTTTTCAAGATTAAGTTTTTAAAGGGGGGGGGAAGGGCTTTAGCCCCCAACCCGTTTCCCTTCTCCCTCAAAAATACCAAGGGTGGATACAGGCCCCTTTTTTGAAAAAAGAGAAAAAAACTAAAAGGAGAAAGTTTCATAAAGAAAAAAGGCATTGAATTTTTTTAAAGGAGATTCAAAGACGATGGTGGGCAAGACAAAATTTTTGGTCTGACTTTTTTATTCATCAATTTAAAACAGTTTGTAAACTAAATAACCCCCTTTACTTGTTTTGGCCGTTTAAAAACAATTAATTTTTGAATTTTTGATTATTGGGTGTTACATCTTTATTTACATATTAATCCCTAAAGGCTTTAGTCCCCTTCCTGATTTGTTCTATTCATAGGACTGAAAATACTTATGGGTGAACTTGATATACTATCATATGTGTTTGGATATAAATTTTTTTAAGCAAAATTTGCCTCAGCAAATTTTTAATAGGGAATCCTAAACAAAATTTTTTCCCCAAAAGTTTGAACAATAGATAAATATCTAATGTCAAAAGAGAGGAAAATAGAAATTAAAAGAAGGGGAAGGGGAGGGGCCCCTTTAGAAAGGGAAAATATGAGAGAAATAAAAGGGAATTAGAAAGCAGGTTTTGAGGTAATTCAAAAGTTAAGACTACTGGTTTTTTTCTTTACGAAGGTGATGGGAAGGGAAAAAAGGGGCTGGGCAGCTTACTGAATGAAAAGGAAGTTAGAATAACTCATACATCTCTCAAATTTTAAAAAAGGGGGGGAAAAGGTATTAGGGTTTTAAATTTTATTTAACCGGGGTTCGTACTAGTAGGGTCACCAGGTTTGGTCCTAGGGATAATAATTCCTAACAAATCCAGTGGAACTGGAGCCAAGGTTAAAGGAAAGGTAAAAGGGGGGGTTAAACCTGGGACCTTTTCAAATTTTAAAAAAACTTGGATGGTTAATAAAAAGCATTGACTATTTTTCTAAGGTGAGTATTGTTGTAATTTAGTTTCCTTCCTATAGAGGAAATTTATCGGGAAAAATAATTTTGGGGGGTTGTACAATTTAAAAAAATTAAATTAAATAAAAATTCAGTTTTTACCAAAGTTCCGTTACAATTTATCTCCAAATTAATAACTGGTAAGTTTTAAAATTTGTATAGGACTAGTAAGCCCTTTGACACAACAGAGACTATTGAGGAAAATTAAAGCAATGAATAGGAGGAAAAATTTTTTCCGGATAGGGGCTGGTGAAAAATAGGCACAGAGAGTTTGCATAAAGGGGGGAGAAATCGGGGGGGGGAACGTCCGGGGGTGTTCCACGGGGGTCAGGTTGGCCCCCTGCTGTTCACAATTACAAAAAGAATAGTGGGGGCAAAAAGAGCGACATGGGCAATTTTTGCCGATAAAACCCCAAAAATAGGCCGTGAATTCATTTGCGAGGACATTCGAGCACTCCGGAAGTTTTGAATAGACTGATGCAGTGGTCGGAGAAGTGGCAGATCAGTTTTAATATAGACAAATGCAAATTCTAAATTTTGGACGGGGACAAAAACCATGCCACATATAACTAAATAATGTAGTTTTAAATATTACGGATTGCAAAAAAGTTTTAGGAGTTCGGGTTAGCAGTAATCTAAACCAAGCAACAGTCTAATTTTCGCAAAAAAGCTAAAGACCTTGGCTTCATATCAAGGCATAAATAATAGGAGTCCTCGGGTTGTTTTTCCCTCTATACCCTTGGGTTAGGCCTTTTTTTGATTATGCTGACAGTTTTGGGCACCGTATTACGAAGGAATAAATTTTGGAAATTTACAAAGGAGGAGACAAAGATGATCCCCATTTTATCAGAAAAACCCTTCCCCCCGAGGATAGCTAAGGGCCCTGAAATGCACTTCTAGAAAAAAGTAGAATTTGGGGGTATGATTGGGTTTATAATGGAAGACGGAATAAATAAAGGGGGTAAATGTGTGGAAAATTCTAGTGACAGGATCGCAGCAAAGGGGTTTTAAATTGGAAAAATTCAGATCAGGAGGGATATAGGGAAAGTCGGTTTGGTAATAGAGTTGTGGATAGTGGAAAAACTCCAAGTAACCGTATTTAGGGGCCCAGAGAAGTTGTGTAGCTTTAAAAATTGGTTGGATAAATACAATGAGTAGAGGGTGGGTGGGTGTGAGTTAGACCTGATAGCTTGTCTAACAGGTCGGTTGCCGTGTTCCTCCCTTTAAAAGTCAATTGACCTGACCGACTGGGTTGGGTGCATTGGCTTAGGCCGGTAGGGACTTGGACCTGCCTCGCATGGGCCAGTAGGCCTTCTGCAGTGTTCCTTCGTTCTTATGTTCTTCTTATGTTCTTGTAAAGAAGTAAATGCTAGGGTGTTGGGGAGAGGAGTGGAATTAAATTATGGGGAATCAAATACAAAATGAGAGTTGACAGTTACTTTCTGCTGGTGATACTGTGCTTTTGGGGGATTCTAAAGAAAAGTTGCAAAGGTTAGTGGATGAGTTTGGGAGGGTGTGTAAAGGTAGGAATTGAAAGTGAACATAGATTAGAGTAAGGTGATGAGGGCATCAAATGATTTAGATAAAGAAAAATTGGGTATCACACTGGAGAGAAGGAGTATGGAAGAAGTGAATGTTTTCAGATACGTGTATTTGGGAGTTGACTTGTCAGCGGATGGGTTTATGAAGGATGAGGTTAACCATAGAATTGATAAGGGAAAAAAAGGTGAGTGGTGCATTGAGATATCTGTCGAGACAAAAAAAAAAAAAGTTATCCGTGGAGGCAAAGAAGGGAATGTACAAAAGTATAGTGGTACCAACACACTTATATGGGCGTGAAGCTTGGGTTGCAAATGCTGCAGCGAGGAGGTGGCTGGAGGCAGTGAAGATGTCCTGTCTAGGGGCAGTGTGTGGTGTGAATATTATGCAGAGACTTCGGAGTGGAAATTAGGAGGAGGTGTGGAGTTACTAAAAGTATTAGGCAGATGACTGAAGAGGGTTTGTTGAGGTGGTTTGGTTATTTAGAGAATGGATCAAAGTAGAATGACATGGAGAACGTATAAATCTGTAGGGGCAGGAAGGCAGGGTAGGGGTCGTCCTCGAAAAGGTTGGAGGGAGAGGGTAAGGGAGGTTTTGTGGGCAAGGGGCTTGGAGACGAATGGTTTTTGGGACTTGACGAGCTGTTGGAGTGGGAGCAGGGTAATATTTAGTGAAGGGATTCAGAGAAACCGGTTATTTTTATATAACCGGACTTGAGTACTGGAAATGGGAAGTACAGTGCCTGCACTTTAAAGGAGAGGTTCAGGATATTGGCAGTTTGGAAGGGTATGTTATATATGCTTCTAAACTGTTATATCTGGGCGCCTCTGCAAAGACAGTGATGATGTGCGAGTGAGGTGAAAGCGTTGAATGATGAAAGTATTTTCTCTTTGGGGATTTTCTTTCTTTTTGGGTCACCCTGCTTCAGTGGGAGATGGTCGACTTGTTGAGAAAAAAAAATAATAGAATATCGAAAATAAATTTAATATTTGCTAGTAACTATGGTAAGTAGTTTGGTTATATCAGCAGCTCTTGCACATGTACCATGGCATTAAATGTTTAATATTTACTGATATACTCTGTTTAAAATTTAGATAACATTTAGAAATCTTTTTTATTTTTATTTTGCCATCATTCACTCAGTCTTGACAGTGGCATGCCAATATTTCAGTTCATATGCCCCTTCTAGCTGCATTTACCCCCACCCCTCCATTAGAGTGTGGGCACTGTAATTTCTACCTGCAGGATTAAAGTCTGGCTAACCAGTTTCCCTGAATCCCTTCACAAAATGTTACCCTGCTCAAACTCAAACTCATCAAGTCCCATAACCAATTTGCCTGCACTTTTATTTAACATGCTCTCACACATCTGCTGGATGTCCAAGCCCCTCTCACACAAATCCTCCTTTACCCCCCCCCTCCCTCCAACCTTTCCTAGGGCAACCCCTATCTCACCCTCCTTCCACTACAGATTTTTACACCCTCCCAGTCATCACATTTTCCATCTATTAACATTTTTCTAAATTATATTTTAATAATGACCTGTTTACCAGGTGTGCCTATGTACATTAGTTCGGCATAAGCCACGTTTGGCACCCCAGGTGGTAGCTTCAGCTCCCTCACTGCTAGCTCCTCCAAGGCATCATGCCAAGAATCATCAGCTTGAATCTTTACTGTCTTCCACTGTGACACTCCTCACAGCACTACCTAATTTATGTTCTCCAGCAGGTAAGCTTAATTGCAATATTTCTAAAGTGCCCTTTACATAATAAGGTAAACCATATTTAATCTATCATTTTGTTTAATGTATTCTTAACCCACTCACTGTCAGAAGCCCCATAGTCAACACTTTAAAAAAAATTCTTCTGAAATGGTAGAGAAGTTTTTGTGAGGGTGATAACACCAAAAATATGAAATTTAATGGAAAACTTAAGGAATTATGCAGGTGCAAAGTTATCAGCCTGGGCGCAATTTACACATTGGCAATTTTGCTCACTTTGAGTCCTATTTTAAGCAAATTCCTTTGCTCAATTTGATCAGACTTTTAGCTTTTTCACTAGTATCTCTTCTGTTCTGTCAATTGAGCACAAAAACTATCCATTCAGAATGATAACAAATCCCCACTCCATACAGCACACTACCAATATTCAAAAGTCTAAACTTACTCACCATACAAAGCATCCATACTTATTATTGTGCCTACTACATACATAGAACATTAAACTCGGATGTAAACCCTCCCCTCAAACTTCTCCTTACCAACCTTTACAGAACACACAACCATAACACAAGACACAGATCACTCTTTGATGTTCCCTGTGTGCACCTGACACTATGTATAAACTTAATGCACATAAAAGGCCCAAAAATTTGGAATTCATTACCAGTGAATACCAAAGAAACACTGTCAGTATATCAATTCAAGACTTCTTAAAAACCACCTATTCACCCAAAACTAATTACACAGTATTTAATTTAACTTTACCTACATAGTTAACAAATCACTTTCTACTACCTCAAAATATCATTACTCACTGTGTTACTCCCCTAGCCTTAGGACCCCATAATTAAATGTTCACAGATCAATAAATTCTCATATCTAACCTAATGCAAATATTGAATAACTTATATCTCATAAATGTATAACCCAGTTGTATAATTAGAGAAACCTTATCAGACTGCTTTTTATAGCATTACCTAATAGAATAATCCATTCTCTTTAATGCACTGTAACTCATCTAATGACCATATGAACTGTTACTGCCCTACAGATCATTGGTTTGATTTGATTAGATCTGATTATTGAATTATACGACTACATATAGTAAATTGATAATTTTGTTATATTACTAACTGTAATGTTACAAAATTGTAAAACTATAATGCTTCAAAATTGAAATGTTCAAATTCATTGTTTAAAATAACTCAATTGTACTTGATATTGTAAATTGTCTACAGTAACTGTTACCATTAAATCTATTATAGCTTAGATAGTCTTAAGTTAATTTTAAGCCTGCCCGTAATGCTCTGCATACAAGGGGCTTTCAACATGTACACCCAACTGCTATAATACCTTGTACAACTATGTATCATGTCCTAATAAAATATTATTATAATTATTATTATAAAAACTATAGAGTACCAATAGTCGATAATTTGGCTAATTTTGCACAAAATTCAAAGTAAGCAAAATAAACACTTCATAAATGCCAGGCTCTATAGTAACATTTCCTCTGTTAACTAATTATGTCCTCAGGCCTCTTGGTCATGGTGTATGGCACCCCAGTAATTGAATCAGACCTAGTAAAAAAAAAAACAGACTAAGGAGAGTGTAGGTACCTTACCCATCCTCAGGAAAATAGAATATTGCTGCTACTTTGAGCCCAATTTCAAGCTAGTTCCAATCCCAAAAACCAGACAAAATCATCTATATTTCAGTAGTATATCTGAGAAGCAGCCAGTAAAACAATAAAAACCATCCTAGAAAACACCTCAGTCATTATTTTATATTAAACATCATACACTGTGTCAGGCAGGATTTTTTTTTAATCAGTAGACCCTTCTATTACACTGTAGTTGCGTTCCCGAAAATGCCGTGTGGGATAAATCTTTGTTATATAAACTGAAGAACTCGTGGGAAAAATAGGGTTAGGTTCCTGGGATCCCCCAAAAATCCAAACATTTTTTTTAGGCATCCAGATCTTACATAAATAAAAATGATAATGTTGTTTTTATTGCTTAAGACTACAAATGCAACAGAAATAATATTTACCTTTCATTGTGGTTGCTGGTGTATGTCAGTGATTGTGAAGAGAGTGGAGATGCATTGTGTGGCCCTACTGGGCTGAGGTGGATGGTTGTTAGTTGTCGGCAGAATTGGATGGTTGAGGTTCTGGTATTAGTCAATGGTTGTAATGGAGTATGCATAAATTCTGTAATGGATTTCTGTCTTCTTTTACCCTGCAGTACATTATACGGCTGACGGTAAAACATCATCAGCTGCTCTGGACCCCATTTCAAAGCACTGCTTCTAGATTTGTCAGGGTCCTCTTCAGTGAAAAAAGTCGGCTAGTTTAGCAGCAACATGGAACTGCTTACGTAACTGCTGCAGTGTTAACTGTTTTTCTTCGGGTTCTTCATTATCTTCTGTTATCTGGCTCCCATGTATCTGTGCATTGAGCTCTGGCTTCATTTCCTCTGGACTCCGGTCTTTATCATCACCTTCTAAGAGCTCATTCACATGATCTTCCTTCATATCTTCAAAGCCATTACCTGGTAATATCCTTGCCAGGTGAACAGTTTCCAGTGAAAAATTAACTACAGAAGGCCATAACTTTCCTCAGCCTTCATTTATTAATGTTGATTGGGGCACTTCATTCCATGCACCTCTAGCATAGCTGATGGCATCTGCAGTGCTAAATTTGTTCCAGAACCTTGGTACTGCCAGGTTGGAGTCAAGAGTTCATCCAAATTTTTTCCCCTCCCGCAAGCCAACCCACATTAAGTTAATTTTACGAAGTGTTGTGTAAAATTATGGCTCAATTTTTCAGTAGTGTAATAACTAAAACGTGCCAAATAAATCCATGTAATACGTATAAGGGTCTACTGTACCGTGTACACTTGCCACACAGACCCATTCTCTCATGTCTAGGCCAAAATTTACTGCTCATACCTTATCTGAGGGAGCTGAGCTCTACGTAAGCAACTCTGGCATCAAGGTAAATCTACAGACAAGACAGTGAAAGGGTTAAGAAACCCACATCATGCATGTTCTTCATTCTTTGAATAATGGAAAAATAAGTGTTGAATGTGAGGAAACTTAATATTGTTCATATGAAACTGGTATTTTTTTTCCTTATACTTTTAAGTGGTAAGGTAACTTTTATGTTCTGTATTAATGTTTCTGCTCATTACTAGGTGGGGTTGCCATCCTTCCAACTGTGCTGTATCTTCTCACGGGTGTATTACGAGAGTGTGGAAGTAAGTCACGCCCCAGCCACAGCCTTCAAAACACTCCTGCTCTTATGACCAAGGTCTTGGATGCTTTGGCTACTCTTGCTCGGCATCCGTATGCTCGTGACCCCAGATCCAAGGACCAGTGGTGTAATCTTCTTCAGTCAGCTCTAGCCAATATTATTGATCTTAGTAAAACTTGTAAGTAGCAATGATATTTTGACTAATATAATTTCATTTAAGGGAGCAAGGGGCTAGTAACCCCTTCTGTATATATTGCTAAATGTAAAAGGAGAAACTTTCGTTTTTCCTTTTGGGCCACCCCGCCTTGGTGGGATACGGCCGGTGTGTTGAAAGAAAGAAGAATTTCATTTAACCTGTAAACAGTCTAAACGTACATGTACATTCATACCCCAGTGCCCCGAATATTTTGAAAAATAAAATTTTTTTTTTTTTAATGAAAATAAAGAGCACATTTTTTTATGTGTTATAGGGTAAAAAAAAAAATAAGGTCAGTACTTACAGAGATATGAGGCTGAGAAGTTGGCACTGGATGCTCATGTGATGGCAACGTGAGTCCTGCCGCTTGCAGAAGTGTTGTCGATATATCTTGTTTTCGCTGGTACACAAACATGTCTGTCTGTCGAGCTCCCTGTCTATCTGTTTATCCATCTAGCTCTGTCTCAGAGAGAGCCACAAGATTACGTCTTCACCTTTACTCATATCTTCAAGCAGAGTACAGTAGGGCCCCGCTTTACGGCGTTCCGCTAATACGGTCATTTCAAATTACGACCAAAACTCGCTATACGGCTCCCCCCACCTGACTTTCTAATACGGTCACCGCGCCCCACCCGGTTTGTTTACATTCTCTGTGAGATCGGTAAGCAGCACTAAGTCTCTCCATTATGTCTGGAAACTCCAAAATTTTAAGTGTTTTTAAAAGTTATTTCATATTTTATATATACTCTGATAATTATACTTATGTATACCTGTACTTAAATAAACTTACATACTGTGCTGGCGTGCAGGTACACATTAAAATCAGTAAGAGTGTTTTATGTCTCCAGACGTCATATTAGTAATGATAATAATAATCACCGAGTCTCATTTAAATGTCGTATATTACGTTAATATACACATTTTCATTAATCCATCTATGATATTTTTTCAAAATTATATAATAAACACGATGCATAACATATAAAGATGATAAATACACCCCACAGTAGAATAAATAAACATAAATATGAGATGTGGTAGCAGACGACTTGCACAAGTGACGCCATATTAGAAATAATAATAATAATAATAATAATAATAATAATCACCGAGTCTCATTTAAATGTCGTATATTACGTTAATATACACATTTTCATTAATCCATCCATGATATTTTTTTCAAAATTATATAATAAACACGATACATAACATATAAAGATGATAAATACACCCCACAATAGAATAAATAAACATAAATATGAGATGTGGTAGCCAGATAACTTGTACAACTGACGGCAAGAATAACATTTTCTCTAATCTATAAGAGAAAATGTGTTACTGGGGATAACTGTAGAAAATTATTCCTTTTGTATGTTTGTAAGTAAGTTTATTCAGGTATACACAAATACAGTTACATAGATTATCATACATAACAGCATATGTGTAGAGAACCCAGGATAACCCAAAAAAGTCAGAGTGACTTATATCCATTGCCTTCACTCAGAGTGTCATTTCTTCTCAAAATGATGTTACATGAGAATGGGAGTGTTCTTTATTTATTCTACCGTATCAATGTAGAGACAACCTGTACACAATGTAACTTGTACACAAACCAGACGTGTACACTTTGTTTACAAAACTTACCTTCGCCTCATGCACTCATTCTCTCTCTCTCATTTATTCATTTTATCTCATTTACTTACTCCTGACCCTACATTAAGACTACAAATATTTTAAGGTAAGTAATGAGTGAACTGTATATACATTTTATTGCTCTGGAATGCTTCAATATCATAGAAGATATGTGTGGGTGGGTTGGCCTGATATGGTAGCCCGCCTGACTAGTATGCATACCACACTTGATTTTTTACAATAAATACTACTCATCTCACCCTAGATTAAGACTACAAATATTTTAAGGTAAGTAATGTTTAATAAATGTATGAAAGAGGGGAAGGTACCTAGGGATTGGCGGAGAGCATGTATAGTCCCTTTATATAAAGGGAGAGGGGACAAAAGAGATTGTAAAAATTATAGAGGAATAAGTTTACTGAGCATACCAGGAAAAGTGTACGGTAGGGTTATAATTGAAAGAATTAGAGGTAAGACAGAATGTAGGATTGCGGATGAGCAAGGAGGTTTCAGAGTGGGTAGGGGATGTGTAGATCAAGTGTTTACATTGAAGCATATATGTGAACAGTATTTAGATAAAGGTAGGGAAGTTTTTATTGCATTTATGGATTTAGAAAAGGCATATGATAGAATGGATAGAGGAGCAATGTGGCAGATGTTGCAAGTATATGGAATAGGTGTAAGTTATTAAATGCTGTAAAGAGTTTTTATGAGGATAGTGAGGCTCAGGTTAGGGTGTGTAGAAGAGAGGGAGACTACTTCCGGGTAAAAGTAGGTCTTAGACAGGGATGTGTAATGTCACCATGGTTGTTTAATATATTTATAGATGGGGTTGTAAAGGAAGTAAATGCTAGGGTGTTCGGGAGAGGGGTGGGATTAAATTTTGGGGAATCAAATTCAAAATGGGAATTGACACAGTTACTTTTTGCTGATGATACTGTGCTTATGGGAGATTCTAAAGAAAAATTGCAAAGGTTAGTGGATGAATTTGGGAATGTGTGTAAAGGTAGAAAGTTGAAAGTGAACATAGAAAAGAGTAAGGTGATGAGGGTGTCAAATGATTTAGATAAAGAAAAATTGGATATCAAATTGGGGAGGAGGAGTATGGAAGAAGTGAATGTTTTCAGATACTTGGGAGTTGACATGTCGGCGGATGGATTTATGAAGGATGAGGTTAATCATAGAATTGATGAGGGGAAAAAAGGTGAGTGGTGCGTTGAGGTATATGTGGAGCCAAAAAACGTTATCTATGGAGGCAAAGAAGGGAATGTATGAAAGTATAGTAGTACCAACACTCTTATATGGATGTGAAGCTTGGGTGGTAAATGCAGCAGCGAGGAGACGGTTGGGGGCAGTGGAGATGTCCAGTTTAAGGGCAATGTGTGGTGTAAATATTATGCAGAAAATTCAGAGTGTGGAAATTAGGAGGTGTGGAGTTAATAAAAGTATTAGTCAGAGGGCAGAAGAGGGGTTGTTGAGGTGGTTTGGTCATTTAGAGAGAATGGACTAAAGTAGAATGACATGGAAAGCATATAAATCTATAGGGGAAGGAAGGCGGGGTAGGGGTCATCCTCAAAAGGGTTGGAGAGAGGGGGTAAAGGAGGTTTTGTGGGCGAGGGGCTTGGACTTCCAGCAAGTGTGCATGAGCGTGTTAGATAGGAGTGAATGGAGACGAATGGTACTTGGGACCTGACGATCTGTTGGAGTGTGAGCAGGGTAACATTTAGTGAAGGGATTCAGGGAAACCGGTTATTTTCATATAGTCGGACTTGAGTCCTGGAAATGGGAAGTACAATGCCTGCACTTTAAAGGAGGGGTTTGGGATATTGGCAGTTTGGAGGGATATGTTGTGTATCTTTTTATGTATATGCTTTTAAACTGTTGTATCCTGAGCACTTCTGCAAAAACAGTGATAATGTGTGAGTGTGGTGAAAGTGTTGAATGATGAAAGTATTTTCTTTCTGAGGATTTTCTTTCTTTTTTGGGTCACCCTGCCTTGGTGGGAGACGGCCGACTTGTTGAAAAAAAAAAAAGTAATGAGGAAACTGTATATGCATTTTATCGCTCTGGGATGCTTAAATGTAATAGAATATTATGCGTAGGTGGGGTGGCCTGGTATGGTAGCCCGGCTGACTACCATGCATACCACACTTGATTTCTTACAGTAAATACTATACTTGTCTCACCCTTGATTAAGACTATAAATATTTTAAGGTAAGTAATGGGTGCACTATGTGTGTATTGTACTTTTTTATTGTTTTTTGATGCCTAGTTCTATTGCTAACTTAATATATGTTAGTGTAAACTTGTTATCTAGTATTTGTATGCATTTATAAGTGGGAAAAAAGGGTGTTCCACTTAACGGCGATTTCCGCTTTACGGCGGTAGCTTGGAACCTAACCTGCCGTATAAGTGGGGCCCTACTGTATAGCACTTTGTCTGGATTTTTTGGGTTATCCTAGGTAATTCACACCATGTATACTCGTATTTATATGTACCTGTGAGACAGAGATGGACAGAAACAGAAAGAGATAGACAAGAGACAGATACGGAGAAAGACAGAGATAGACAAAGGCACAGACAAACAAACGGAGCCAAGCCGCCAGCAGTCGGCAGCCACGCAGCTGGCCAGCCAGCCAGCCAGCCTGCTGAATAAGTATTATGTTCCAGAATTGTTTCTCTTTACTTAGGGCATAGCTTATAAGACATTCTGAAAGGGCGTTGCACAAATGTTGCACATAGGTTATTATCGAGGTTTTTTTTATATTTCCTCGACCACTTATGGTCACATCCACCTCAAAGCCACTAAACTCGGGGTCAAAATTACTTTCCTCTTAAAATGGGAGAGTTAATACTATATGAAATCAGTGAATCCTAGGTGTTTACAGCGCTGTTTGCTCCAGCTGGCGCTCATTTGAACTGGTGCTCCCACAAGGTACTAAGTGGTCCCAGATTTTTTTAATACAGTGCACACTGAGTGTTATGACCCATTCTGACAAGGCATCTCAGGCTAATTGTGCCATATTTGAAGGCAAGAAAAATGAAACGTTTATATACGTTTGGGGCACTAGCAGTAAGAACGTACATGTATATATACGTTTGGACCGTTTACGGGTTAATAAATAAATTTGAATTTTAGACTGATGCTGTATGAGTAAGGAAGATGTTTATTTGTATTTTATCAGTACGGGAGGGTCCCACATATGCGGTGGATTAGGTTCCAAGCTACTGCCTTAAAGTAAAAATTGCTGTAAAGCGAATTGTTTTTTTTTTTTTTCACTTAATTACACATAAATGCCTGAGAACATGCTTATGTTATCACATATTAAGTTAGCAATAAAACTAGGCCT